AATCTTCATGGATAATCCCGCCCTCTCTCTTTCTCCTCTGGCAGAGCCCCAAGGATGTGTTGGGAAGCTGTCACACGCCTTTCACATTTACCATATTGTCAGAAGCTGACAAACGATGTCCATCTTAATTAAGCATTGTGGAAACCATGACTTTTAAACCACACTTGGTGAAGCTGGTTACTTTCAGCCAAGCCTCGTTAAGATTAATCACGGTCTCAGTTGGGATGGCACGCAGAATTGTGCTTAACGCTCAGTGGAAGCAGAAACGGCGTCAGAGGAACGAAGACGTGCACTCTGAACCAGAAGCAAAAACTGAACGGCAGTCTCCCCTGGAGCAGGACTTGAACTGTGTTCCCTTAGAGCAGACGTGGGGAACTATGGCCCCTTTAACCCCTGAGGACTTCAACTCCCAGAATTCCATGGCTCAGGAATTCTGGGAGTTGAAGTCCAGAGATCATAAAGGGGCCATAGTTCCCCACCCTTCCCTTAGAGTGAAATATATTAGGGAAACCCAAAGGTGCTTTTTCAAAAGACAGCTGGACTTCCTTTGTTTTTCCTTGAAGGCATTTCGCTTCTCATCCCAGAAGCTTCTTCAGTTTTGAATGGAAGCTTCAGAACGGTAGAAGCTTCTGGGATGAGAAGCGAAACGCCTTCAAGGAAAAACAAAGAAAGAAAGTCCACCTGCCTTATGAAGGAGCATCTTTGGGACAACTGTGACCTGGATGATCTATCGACATATAGCAGGGAAATTATGAAAATCCTAAAGAGCCGAGCAAAATTTCTCAGCAGGCTTCTGTGTGTTCCTAGTCTGCCACTTAGCAAGGTTTGAATTTTGGAAACTTGGGCACGGATCCTTAGGTGAAACCCAGGAGCACTTTTAAGGCGGGCCAGATGTTTCCACACCTGGAGCAAAACTTAAGGAACTTTTGCAGCGGTTTAAGCGAGAAGTGCAGTCACGATAATTCCTTGTGGGCTCTGTTGGAAAAACTCGTTTCTCCTCACAGGCAAGAGAAGACACAAAGATTCTCTACTTTGTCCCCTCCCTCCACCTCTTTTCAAACTTGTTCTGCCTTCCTGCCCCCCCCCCCCCCCCCCCTCTCTACTTTCCCCCCCCCCCCCCCGCTCTTTCCCTCTTCTGCCCACCCTGCTCCTTGGTCCCCTGGGAGCGCACTCTAATAATGTATTTGATCGACTGGCGGCCGCGGACAAGCGATTATTGTCTTGTAGGGAGTCAAAAGTATTGATCGGGGGAGAAATATGAGCAGCGCAATGGAGCCGGCGCGTCACATACAATAACCACAGCCCCGGGGGAGCACCCGCGACACCGGCCGTCTCCTCTCATTACCGCCTGCCTCAGCCAGCCATGGGAACAGGGAGACAGGGCTGGGCAGGGTGCCTGCCTCTTGGACCTTCCTACTGACCTATAGGCCTATTGCTATTCTAGCCACAGGTTCCTCACATACAGCACTGGGTAGGGCGAGAGGAAACATGGCCAGTTGTTTAATGAATCTCCCCCTTTCGCCCAAGACACAGTTCTGCTCGATGCCTTGTACAGTGCTTCCAACCTGTAGCTACCTCACCAGTCAAATATCAGGCAGAAAAACATCCTCGTATTTCAGGTGGACCAGCAATTCCGAACGGTGAAGGCAAGATCTGTGGAGATGCACACGGGAGAAGGTACCACACCACAAGGCCAATGAGCCAAACCGTAGATCAGAGGAAGACTTGGATGAAACCGCGCTCCCAAACTGCTCCACCCTTTGTGTAACTTTGATAGTTAACTCAGACAGCTTTTTGTGCACTTTGGGGATGTTGGGTCCATGCACACAAGTCCCAAAAACTTTGGATGAGATTTATTTTTACTCTGCCGCAAGGAAAGCAGCAAGGCTAATCTCAGCATGGGGTCTGTCTTCACAGCAAAGTTTTAAATTAAATGCTGGAAGAGTTCAAATATTAGATCCCAGATTGTTCTCTCAAAATAGAGCTAGGTGGCCATCAGTGGCTTATATTGCAATCCTAGACAACTGATGAAGACAGCAATTTCATTAAACTGAGAAGGCTTTGTTTCCAGGTATTATAAAATTGGGCTACTAAAGCCAACATTGGTCTTTCTTTCTTTCTTTCTTTCTTTCTTTCTTTCTTTCTTTCTTTCTTCTTTCTTTCTCCTTTAGAGATCAGCAGTGACCCAATTTTATAGGCTTAAATGAACCAGGATCATTTTTTAAAAACTCATAAACTATTTTTATACGACACTTCTTTGAAAAATTACGCCATTCCCATTTTATGGATAGTGGACTGAGGTGATTAAACCAAATATATAAATATAGGAAGCTATCTCATGTGAAGTTCATTTACTTTAGTCGTATGACAATGGATCTTTAAGCGATCAATAAGAGTTCCTTCCCAAGTTTGCAAGCTTTAAATCTTTAAACAGGAAGACTTGGGCATTGGGAGAAGGGATTGTGCATTTTTTTTCCTCAGGACAACATACGTTTTATGCAAGATGGATTATTACTGATTCTGTAGCTTGGTAAATTTCCCTGTTACTGAGTTAAACTGCTCTCCATCCACCCTTGAGTCAGCAGAAAATTATAGCGTAATATAATTTGAGTTTCCATTGCAGATCCCCATCCTGCCTGTGCCGCCTCTGTAGCCAGTCGCATCAGTCACTTGACTTCCTTTCAGGTTAATGGGACATACAGCCTCACAAATTTTAGACACCTCGAGGCTGCTCTTGACTAATGTCGGAAGAGGAGGAAAACAACTTAACCCTGGTACTGCTAAGGACAACTTAAAACTGGCTTATCATGGGTTGGGGACAAAGCATAGCAACGTTACAGGGACACAGCAGGAAAGGTGTTGCCAGGTGTGAGTGTGGTGAAAGTCCCTTAGTCTGAACGCTCTGGGCACAGATAGCAGATTTGTATAGACCTGAGCAGCTGTACAGGTGAGCCCCCAGTTGCCAGCATCAGTAGAAAATTCAGCTTTGTATAACTCCACTACTATATGTGCCACACTGAAATGTGACATTGTGTGCACACAAACTGGTGGACTTGGCCCCGTAATGCCCTTCAGATGTACCTCTGAATTGTCCCAAAGGTGCTTTTTCAAAAGGCAACTGGATTTCTTTTGTTTTTCCTTGAAGATGTTTCACTTTTCATCCAAGACGCTCCTTCAGAGATTTGAAGACGCTTCTTGGATGAGAAGCGAAACATCTTCAAGGAAAAACAAAAGAAATCCAGTTGCCTTTTGAAAAAGCACCTTTGGGGCAAACCATGACCTAAGAATCTCCACAGATACTTTTGAATTGGGTTACATCTGCAATGTGGTTGTTTCCAGACATAACTTTTTTTTTTTTGCATTATGTGGGTGCATTCTGAATAGGACCAGGGAATGCTCCCAAGTAGAAACACTTCGGTGTCTACATCTAGTCGGGGAGATCAGGACAGAGTAAAATTTAGTGGATGCCGTAGAGGCCTCCGTGTCTGATGTTGGAGAATTAGACATGATGAACATAAGTCTGCTGCTAGCCTGGTGTTGCTGTCTCCCAACTGTTGTGGATTGTATGGCCACAACAGGTGAATTGGAGAATTTGTGGCATTCTGCTTCCCCCAAGTGTTGAGTGGACAAAAATGCAAGACTAACCGTTAATACACAGCTGTTCTCCGTGGCTGTCTTACAGGCATTAAAAGGCGACTTTTCGGAACTTAGCTCCAAACCATGTTTTAGATGCTGAAGATCAGCCCCAAAGTGCATAAAGTAATAAAATATCCCATGGACCATGAACAGAGAGCTAGATTCTTCCTACTGGATCTTTAAGACATCCTGTGCTGAAATTTCCCTAGACACAAAGACAGGTCAACAATTCTTTCTATATACTCTAAGTATTTTAGATCTAACAAAGCTGGATCCACTTGGGTCACATGCAGTGAGTTGTGTGCTTCCCTGCAACGAAGACATCCACAAGTAGGTTTTGGTACAAGCAATGAGGATGGAGGCACTGTGGTTGCCAATACAGATTCTGAGATGTCACCAGGACGACAGTGGTTAGGGTTCATGCGCCATGCTAAGTTGTGAGGGTTGTTGTATAAGCCACAGTGACTGGACCCCTATATTTTGCCAAGCCATAAGCCTGATTTACATACTTCAGTGGCTGAGTTTGGTTTGCCTGCTAACCCTAGGCTATTGGGACCACAATTTCCACTGCTGAGAAAGTTGGTTGTTGAGTGAAGTTATTTCCGATTTTGCAACCTTTTTTTTTGCCACAAAAAAGAGTTGCTAAATGAAAGCTCACGTGGTCATTAAACAAACATGCCGTCTCCTCATTGACTTTGCTTTTCAGATTGGCGATTATATGCTGCAATGGTCATAAAGACATGCCATTTGCCAAGCGCCTGAATTTTGAGCTTGTGGTTGTGGGGATGCTACATTGGTCCAAGGACCGGTTCCAGTGCTGCTGTAACTCCACACAGTTGCTAAATGAATGGCTGTAAGTGGAGCACTACCTGCAGTTCACAACATGCTCAGACCCCTTACCGAACCATAAAACGCCCAGCCACGTTTTAGCCTATATGCCTGTTCTATAGATCCTGTGCCACGCCGATCCTTTGGACTCAACTAAGGGCCGCCCTGAAATTTGGGACACCGCAGACTGAAGCATGGGCACCTGTGGGCACTGTGGCAATTGCACACGTAGGTCTTGTATTTGCCGTGTGTCAGCCCTTGCAGTGTTCTTTGCTCCCCCCCTCCCATCAAAACACACACACACACACACACACACACACACACACACCCTGCCATGTCTTCTTCCTCCCAGCTGCTTCCTGCCGCATTCACTGTTCTTGCTTCTCAAGCACCCGGGGACTCCCCAGACCTGCCCCTAGCTTACAGGCCCTTCCTTGTCCTGCCACCTGCTTTTTCCTCTCTGGAACACGTACCATCCGTCACTGGCAGGCAGGGCCCTTTGGGTCTGTCTCTTCCACACCAGAAGAATTATAGCCATGGTGAACTCCGGCCTGTGGGCAACAGGTGAGTGATAAGAAGCGTACTGCAACTTGGAGGCCACTCACTGTGTTCTCTCTCTCTTTCTCTCTTTCTCCCTCCCTCCTTCCCCCTCTCTCTCTCTGTGTGTGTCTCTGACTCTCTCTCTTTCTCCAGAATGCATTGCCATCTTTTTCTGGAGATTTCCTTGATGCTGATAAAAAGTTGATTGGAGGTGGGTGCAGGGGTGATAGGACCGAAGCAGTGCTGCTCATCCCGGCTGCTCCTCCCGCTTTGAGGCCTGTGAATGCCCTGTCCTAAGCTTCAGGGCTCATCGAGGAGAACCTTGCTCTACGGAGTTGTGGAGTGCGTCCCGACAAATTTTGTCTGCCTCCAATCCTGTCTTGCGTGGGGTGGAAGGAGAAGAGGGGACACTATTAGGGGAGGGGCTAGTTAAGTCCAAGATTGGAGACCGGGGGGTACAGGGGTAGGAAGTGGGTGTAAGGGGAATTGCACCACTCAGTAATGCCTTAAGAGGACTTGGGAAGCGTGGAGCAACCTTACACCAAAGATCAGCTAGAGATCAGTTGAAGAGGGAAAGTTTACCCGCTCAGCAAGAGGGTAAGCTGTATCTACTGGATTCCTACTGGATCTTTGAAAAGGGATAGTCCAGCTAGGAGGACTGGCAAGGGTTTTTGGATTAGCTTGTGAGCCAGCCACTGTCACTGTGCTTTAAACAGCGGTTTGATACACAATCATGGTTCCTTTCTGTGCTGTTTTGCTGCTGATCTCTGCAGATGTAGAAGTTAAGGGCCGTATCGGCCTATGGTTTCTAGACAAGCTGCCTCGTACCAAACCATGCCTGATGTTTTGTAGAGCAGGCAGTCTGCTAACCTGGCTTTGTTGTTTGGAAGGGTAATCGTTTTAGTAGGCTTTTCCTGGTGTGCAAAGTATATTTCAGGCAAAAGTGGATTTTTCCCCTATGAAATTTGCCAAGTAGGCAAGGACCTACCTCCTTCCCCCCCCCCCCCCCCCCAGGCCACTCCAGTGTTTTTAATCCCAGCTTTTCCTGTAATTGGGCAGCCATAGAAAGCAAGGCAGGGGGGACTAGGAAACCAGGAAAGAAGAGGAGGAGTTCTACTCGGAGCTGGCAAGGGGGCTGGTTTTGGGGCTTCTGTTTTTAGTTCGAGTTTCAGTAAATTGGAGGTTTTTTTTAAACCATCTAAAAATGTGAAAGGGAAGCAGAAGTGAAAGCCGACAAAAGAGCGGCCAGCAGTTTGGAGAGAAGGGGGGGTGGGCGGGTAGCAAATCCCTGGTCCTGACAAACTGCCCAGCACTTCCTGTATTTTCTGAAACACCCCACCCCCCACCCACCCACCCCGGTTACAAAAAAATCCCACCAGATTACTATTTTCCCAACGTATGGCGTATTCCACCAAAAATAATCCAGTCTACAATACTTTAATGTCTCCAGAAACTCTGAATTTCATCACAGACATTGCCGCTTTCTTTTTACCTTTTCTGCTTGTGTTTTGGGACATCCACTTGATCCTCAGACATATTAAACAATGGAAGCTTTTCCTCATCTGGAATTTTTTTTTGAAAAAAACGGAGAAAATTTCACTTAGTCTAGGCCTGTTAAGACCAGCTGCTGCTAAAGAGCAAAAACGACATAGTAAAAGCAGCGGATCTGAATTACAGGCAGCGCTCGAATTATTACCACAATTGAGCCCAGCATTTCTGTTGTTAAGCGAGATGTTTGTTAAGTGAGTTTTGCCCCATTTTACGACCTTTCTTGCCACAGTTGTAAAGTGAATCACTGCAGTTGGCAAGTTAGGTTGTTAAGTGAATCAGGCTTCCTCCATTGACTTTGCTTGTCAGAAGGTGGCAAAAGGGGATCATACAACCCCAGGACACTGCAAGGGTCATAAATATGAATCAGCGGCTAAGCATCCAAATTTTGATCATGCAACCATGGGAATGCTGCAACGGTCATAAGTGTGAAAAATGGTCACAATTCACTTTTTTTCAGTGCTGTTGTAACTTTAAACAGTCACTAAACAAACTGTTGTAAGTCGAGGACTACCTGTATTTCTGAATCTGGACACATCTTCCATCCTAGACTATAACACTCAACTTACTTTTTTTAAAATCTGGAGCATGCATTATTCACTTTCGCTAGAATATTTTCCAAAGACACTGTAATTTGATTTGTTCCATCACGTCTTGTGAGTCATAGTTACTTGGAACCAATAGCTTTTTAAATTTTTATTTGATTTATTTGATTTTATTTGATTGTGTTACTTTATAAGTAACTCAAAGCAATAAATGCAGATCATTCTATTTTGTCCTTCTATTTTTCTAACCACAACCCTGTGAAGTGGGCTGAGAGAGAGCGATTGTCCCAACGTCACCCAGCTGGTTTTCATACCTAAGGCGGGACTAGAACTCACTGACTCTTAGTGATTGACCCTAAATCACCCAGCCAGCTCTCATGCCTATGGCGGGACTAGAACTCACATGCTCCTGGTTTTTAGGCCAGTCTCTTAACCACCATACCAACTTGGGTCTCTAAGTTCCAAATAACATACAGTAGTAGTTTATGGCTTAGCAAAAATTACAGAATGGCCATATTTTCTTGCCTCTACCTCAGTGCTGGGATTCAAATTTTTTTACTACCAGTTCTGTGGGTGTGGCTTGGTGGGCGTGGCAGGGGAAGGATACTGCAAAATCCCCATTCCCTCCCCACCCCACTAACCTGCTTTCCAGCTCCGTTCTCCTGTGCAGGGCAACCAAAGAAGACCCAGCCGATCAGCTGGGACTCAGGAGGCAGAGAAGAGATGGGGTTGGTGGGGCCAGTCAGAGGCTGTTTTTGCTGGTTCTCCGAACTACTCAAAATTTTCTGTTTCTTGTCCCCAGAACGGGTCAGAACCTGCTGAATACCATCTCTGCTCTACCTCTCCTGCTCGCTGTCACTTCTTCCTTTTATTTCTTTTTATCTTTCCTCCCCCTCCTCTTAAAAAAATCTTTGTCAAACAAATCAGTGATGCCTGCAATCAGATCCAATCCACGCAGGTTCAACCCAGGGACCAACCCTAACTTACCATTTGTTTATTTAAAAGATGTGGAGTCCTTCTTTTTTTAAAAAAAAAAAACTTCAGAAGGTGCCTTACAGCATCAAAAAATACAAATAATGCTTATAGTTAACGGATAAAGTGGTTCAAGAAATAATAATATCTGAAGGAAATCCACAATACGAGCAGCTATAGCACAAAAATAATGACATTCATTTTTGCATCACTGGTTAACCTTCCTGCATCCAGTCGACATCTTTCTAATGAAACAATGAGCTCTTTTGTGTTTTTTAATCTTCAGCAGAGATTGAACTGTGGGAATTCCAGAATACAAGGGGAAAAACATGCCATCAGAGCTAACGTTTGCTACATTTCTGCTTTTGAAAGTTTGTACATTGACTTTTAATAGTGCTGTATTGCAGACTCTAGTGAAAAATGAACAAAAGGTTCAGACACATCCTGAATTCAGTGTTCTACTGCTGAGCCATATTTAACAGAATAACAATTTGAAGATGCTTCTGACATGAATAAAGGTCTTGCTCAAAGAGCAGGTAGCAGCTGTAGCAGAATAACACAATAAGAAGAGTTGGAAGGGACCTTAGAGATCGCCTAGTCCACCCCCTGAAACATACCATTTCAGACAAGTGTCCAGTCTCTTCTCAAAAGCCTCCAAGTGTTGGAGCATCCGAAACATCTGAAGGCAAACTGTTGCACTGGTGAAGTGTTCTCACTGTCAAGGAAATTCCTCCTTAATTCCAGGTTGCTTCTCTCCTTGATTAGTTTCCATCCATTGTTTCTTGTCCTGCTTTCAGGGGCTTTGGAAAATAATACGTTGAGCCCCTCTTCTTTGTAGCAGCCCCTCGAATACTGGAAAACTGCTATCAGTGGTCTCCATGGGTCTTCTCCATCCATGGGATGTAGACCTTCAATCAAGAATCAATTCTTCATTAGTTTTCTGTGTGTCAAGAAAAGCTTCTTCCTGTTGAATATCTGCATGTTTCAGAAATCTTGTTAGGAGGCAAATGAACAAGGACACCGTTCCAGATGAAAATTTGCTTAAGAAAATCCACTGCTTGGCTGCATTTATCCCAAATGATCCTGAGAATCGCGCTCGGATTTCTTCCAGCTCTGAAAAAGATTAATAGTCCGGGACATTGTTGATGAAAAGATGAATTTAACTTGAACACAGGCTCCATTATATGTTGACTCTGCATTAAACAATATTCCCACCTAAGAGGTATTTTCATATCTCTCATAAAAACCTCCTGTTCAGCTTTTATTCAGTCTCAAAATCCAATTTGATTCTTATGTACATAACGCCTCTCTATTATCTTTGATCACAGATTATAGATTGACATTTCTGGGTTATTTCACCAGCTGTTATCGTACCTATGATCGTTCCTGTATTACCAAACGCTTGCAGCATTAAATGCCAGCTGTGCAGATTGTGGTGGATATATGAGAATGCCATTTGCCCAGCATTATATACACACTATGTCTTTAGTGTGGGCTTGATAGAAAGAAACTGGGGTGTGAACCTTTACTTTCAACTATACCAGGAAAAAGCTCTCTGCTTGCTACCTCTCTCTCGGTGTCAGCTAAAAAGATAGCAAGCCTATCTCCTTGAGTTGCTGAAGTTCATTTCACTATGGGAATTACGTTCTCCAACAGCCAGCTGTAATTTAGTCAGAATGGCAGGATTCTGATGGGGAGAAGAGCAGAAAGGTTTATTTTATTTATTTATTTGATTTGTCAATCACTTACAAGATAATAGGTATAAGGATAAACATAGTTATGAATACAAGAAATGAGTACGTATAAGAAAAATAAAAGAAACAATAGGAATGTTCCTTACAGCAGCTGCTAGCTTTCAGAAGAGGAGTGAAATGGAAAACCAGACTGGAAAAGGAATGAATCTGAATATCTTGGAATATGGTTTGTCCTCGACTTATGACTAGAATTGTGCCCAAAATCTCCATTGCTAAGCAAGACCCATTTTACGATCTTTGTTGCCACCGTGGTTAAGTGAATCACTAAAGAAGGTCGTTAAATGAACCTGGCTCCCCCATTTTCTAGACCTAGAAAACCTTGAATTACGCCGTCTTCGGTCTGATTTAAGCATGGTATATAAAATCATACATTGCAATGTCCTACCTGTCAATGAATACTTCAGCTTCAACCATAACAACACAAGAGCACACAATAGATACAAACTCAAGGTTAATCACACCAAACTTGATTGCAGGAAATACGACTTCAGCAACAGAGTGGTCAATGTCTGGAATACTCTACCCGACTCTGTAGTTTCTTCCCCAAACCCCAAAAACTTTAACCTTAGACTGTCTACTATTGACCTCACCCCTTTCCTAAGAGGTCTGTAGGGAGCGTGCATAAGGGCACCAACGTGCCTACCGTCCCTGTCCTATTGACTCTTATTTTTTTATTTTTCTTATATGTATCCATGTATTCATAACTATGTTTTTACTTTTACCTATTATCTTGTAAGCAATTGACAAACCAAATAAAATTTTTTAAAAAATGAGTTTGCTTGTCAGAAGGTCGCAAAAGGGAATCACGTGACCCTGGGACACTGCAACCACCATAAATACAAGTCAGTTGCCAAGTGTTTGATCATGTGACCATGGGGAGGCTGGGACAGTTGTAAATGGTCCCAAATGACTTTTTTCAGTGCTCTTGTATCTTTGGTCACTAAAAAAACTGTTGTAAGTCAAGGACTACCTGTACTCAGGGCAGGTGGACAGTGGATAAGAATAGTTTTATCTAGCAACCTTTAGATACAAATCTCAATCTTTAGTTGCAAGTTCTGAAAATATTTTGCTTTTGCTTTTTTTTTTTGCATGGCATAACCTGAAAACTAGTAGAAGGCGGTGTGGTGGACCATGGAGAGTAGGAATGGCATTCCCTCCTAAAGATTGCTTTTTATTACGAAGTAGATGAAGAAATGTAATGGGAGACGCTGAAAAGGATTGGTTCCTTCTTCCCTGCTGTGTCTTTAATAGGTGCATGTTTGGCTGAATCTGTTGGACTTATCCTTCTCATTATATGAAGGTAAAATCAGTGGTGACACTGGTTGAATTCCTGCTCTGATGTCCAGTTCTTTAAAAAGTGCTGGCTTTCATTGTTTGCTTACGGACCAAGAGGGATTCTGACTGGTGTTGAATGAATAGGAAAACACATAAAAGCATTTATCACACTGAAGAAGTGGCCTTCCTTCCTTCCTTCCTTCCTTCCTTCCTTCCTTCCTTCCTTCCTTCCTTCCTTCTACACCCCCTCTCTCCCTTTCCTCCCTCCCTCCTTCCTTCCACACCCCCTCTCTCCTTCCTTCCTTCCTTCCTTCCTTCCTTCCTTCCTTCCTTCCTTCCTTCCTTCCTTCCTTCCTTCCTTCCTTCCTTCCTTCCTTCCACACGCCCTCTCTCTCCCTCCTTCACTTTCCTCCCTCCCTCCCTCCTTCCTTCCACACACCCTCTCTCCTTCCTTCCTTCCTCCCTCCCTCCCTTCCTTTTTTCTTCCTTCTGTCTATCCGTCCATCCATCCGTCCGTATTGTGCTAGGTTTAAAATAGTGGTGGTTATGAAACTATCAAATGGCAGAACATAATTGATGGAAAGAGTGAATTATCTTGGCTGATGATGATGTCACAATGCTAACCTGTAGATTCTTTTGCTTCTACTGGATCTTGAACAGACGTTTGGTGAACTCTAGTGGTAGGATGGTGTCTTTTTCCAATCCCTGTTCTATTAGTTTACCATACATAGTTTATTTAGCACACACTGTAGCAATATCCAAAATAGAAGAACAGCCAAGAAATCCAAGCTGCTAGAGAACCAGAGTTGGCCACCTCCAGCACCTGCTGTCAGAGGCCATTGTCTTACTTATTCTTCCATAAGGACCGGCAGTATGAATAATATTAACAACACGTCAGGTTAGTTTTCTCAACATAGGACATAAATGGGAGCAGATGCTTTATAACGGGGGTCTCCAAACTTGACCACTTTAAGACTTGTGGATTTCAAGGCCGAGAATTCTGGCTGAGAAATTCTGAGAGTTGAAGTCCACAAGTCTTAAAAGTGGCCAAATTTGGAGACCCCTGCTTTATTTAGAAAGAGCAAAGATATATCAGTGCCAAAGCTCTCTGGATCAAGTAACCAGATATCTCGAGAAAAACCACAAGTAAGGTTTGAAGGTAACAACAACCCCATCCTTGTGTCTCCTCTCTGGCAATAATCTTAGTGCCATTTCGCAAAACCAATAGGCAGCGACCTAACTTTCCTTCTCCATGGCTGTCTTAATCCTCTGCTAAAGTCAGTGGTTGTGACCCCCGTCGCACAACTGCAGATTCCTGAAAACGGAAGTTGTCCTAGGAAGACAGCAGGCAGTGCTTTGTAAAATAGAATGTGCCCATCTAATCCTGGTATACTGTAGACGGGGCCTATTGAGGGGTTCCCCTTCTTTACAAGAGCCATGGGGTACGAACCAGATAACAAGCCTTCCAATGCTGGCCCCCATGTTTGGGGTCCTCTCCTGCCAAAGCGGTGGGTGGTGCCAATCCCTGCTTGCATTTCACAAACAACTGAGAATTATTTGGTTTGAGCATCTTTTGATTTTGGAGACTTCTGAGGCCGCCGGATGTCACTTTATTTATTGAAGTTTTGTATTATTCTCTTGCATTGTTATCTGACCACCATGGAGGAGATATTTAGGTATTCAAAAAATGAAAGAACAACGAATTCTTGAAAAAGTTTAAGTGTACGCTAACTGCTCTGCAAAAATCTGGATCATCACTGAATTGCAGATTCTAGTGGTCATCCATATTTCTGCAGTTCCAATGTTTAGCCCTTGCAAAGTATATATTCATTTCTGTTTTTTCCCTCTTTATCCATCCATGCATTCATTCATTCATTGCCCAAGTGTTTTAAAACATTTAATCTTTTAAATATCTGTTGTAACATGCTCAGCAAAAGCTTTGGGTTTAGACGAGGGTCTCTGGTGGGGATAAGGGAAAGAGGCCTGTTTTGTTCCAAGCAGGAATATACTGTGCAGCCTAGATCTCCCAGGGATTTTTTTTCAGCTGCTTTGCTGAATTACAGTTTTCATTAAAAGAAAACCAAGATTAAACCATTTTTTATTTCTCGGAGGAGATTTAGAAAAAAATATATGCAGGCAATAGTCTTCCTACTTTTCTTTCTTTTAATATAGCTACTCATCTCACACCAGTGACTCTAGGCAGCTTACAAAGATTAAAACACTGAGAACTCACAAGCAATAGTTTTGGAAGTTTCAGAGTTATGGGGGTGTTAGAATAATTTGACATCCATGAGGCATTTATTTTCAGATTTTATACGGTTTGAATTCTGCAGTGTCATATTACAATGCAGAAATGAGCGAACCTGACAATTTTAAAGTTTTTTTGTTTCATTTCTTTCTTTCGCTTTAAATCCATCAAGTTTTTCATTTGTTGGTTTGGTGCAAGTCATGTTACATAGATTTGGCACAAAATAGAGCCCTGGTGGCACAGTGGTTAGAGTTCGAATCTCACCAGGCTCAAGGTTGACTCAGCCTTCCGTCCCTCCGAGGTGGGTAAAATGAGGACCCAGATTATTGGGGGCAATTATGCTGACTCCGTAAACCGCTTAGAGAAGGCTGTAAAGCACTATGAAGCGGTATATAAGTCTAAGTGCTATTGCTATTGGCACTGATTTCTGGCTCCACTACCTTCTGTGTACCGTTATCAATACTCATCTGCATTTTCCTTTCCATTTTTTTTTGTTCCTTCCTTTTTTTCTCACAGAAGTAAGAATGTCTAAGCCCTTGGAACTGGAGAAGGTGCGCCTGGAGCTGCAAGAAGACCACACAGGTAAGTTGCTTTGATGGGAAGAATAAGAATGTATTTATTCGTTAAGAGAAAGGCTCTTGCAGAGGCTGGTTGAAATGAGAACATGCCTTTCCCTGCAGTCTTTGCAGCGGTGGCCTCTTTGAAGCTAATTCGTTTTCTTTCTCCTTTTAAATTTAAGAAGGTATTAAAAATACAGAATGCAAGTGAATGAATAAATAAAGAAGATTCCTGCAGGGACAGACTCCAGTTTTCCGTTTGGAGAGCCTTAATAGAAAAATCAGGAACCCAGAAATTGGCTTTTTTATAAATAATTTTTTTCCAGTCATCTTCAAGATATAAAGGAACCATTAAGCCTAATAAATAGTATGAATATACTCCTGAGACAACACGGTGCTACTGTATTGCATTAGCAGTACATTTTTGTACAGTTTTGTACATGAATCAGAATTAGTATCTGAAGTAGTGGATGAAAGGGAACAAGAGAAGAATGAGAAGAATGGGAGGGGGGCTTCTTGGTGCGCTGATAAATAAAGCATTGGGGGGAAAAAAAACTATTAAAAGTTACTGTCCTGGGAAAGATAAGGAACAAAGCAAAGGAGAATGGACTACATAGAAGAATCAATGTTTAGTATGAAGTATTGCTTATTTATCTGTAATAATCTAGAAAGGGCAAGCAAAGAACACGCCAGCTTGATAACACCAAATCTGATGCAACGTTGAACATCCAACAATTGAAAGAAGATGTGCTTGACCGGGTAGCATGGAGAGGACTTGCCTATAAAGTCATTAAGAGTCAGATATGAATAAATGGTTAAAAACGAGCCAAATGACGAATTGTTATTCATTGGTTTGGGTGCCACTTCAGCCATTGAAGCATGAATGAAAAAATCTCCCTCTGGGACACCATTACCAAATAAATAAAATAAAAAATAATACAATGAGAGGCTGCCCCAAAGAAGAGGGGATCAGCCTATTCTCCAAAGCACCAGAGTGCAGGACAAGAAACAATGGATGGAAACTAACCAAAGAGAGAAACAATCTGGAATTAAGGAGAAACTCCCTAACAGTGAGGACAATTAACCAGTGGAACAGCTTGCCACCAGAAATCGTGGGCACTCCATCACTGGAGGTTTTTAAGAAGAGCCTGGACAGCCACCTGTCTCAAGTGGTATAGGGTCTTCTGTTTGAGCAAGGGGTTGGACTAGAAGACCTCCAAGGTCCCTTCCAGCTCTATTCTGTTTGAACAAAATAAGGCAATTCTGCTCCATTGGGCAGTCCCATTCTCTTGTGCAAAGCGAAGCAGGGAGCAAGAGCTTTGTGACTCTTGGATTGCCAAAAATGGGATTATCCCAATTCTGGATGGCACGAGAATCATCTCTGGCTGGGAAGGTGGGACAGAAAAAGTTTGCTCCAAAAGGAGATATTGGAGGGGAGGGGATTTCCAGCTGGAAAATATTCTCCACTCCGTTTTAGAGAAAAGAAGAATAACAGAATTGTAGAAGGGACCTTGGAAGTGTTCTAGTCCAATCCACAGCTCAGGCAAGAAATCTTATACCATTTCAGACAAGTGGCTGTCCAGTCTCGTCTTAAAAACCTCCATTGTTGGAGCATTTGCAAGTTCTGGAGGAAAGTCATTCCACTGATTAATTGTTCTCGCTGTCAGGAAATGTCTCCTTCGTTCTAAGTTGCTTCTCTCTGTGATTGGTTTCCATCCGCTGCTTCTTGTCCTGCCTTCAGTTTTCTTTGGAGAATAGCTTGACTCCCTCTTCTTTGGGGCAGCCCCTGAGATATTGGAACCCTGCTATCACTGCTGTCACAGAAGCCCCACATTTCAGAATTATTCTTAAACTAATCAGAACATTAACAAGACAGCACCACTAACTTGTGAATGATGAACAGTGATGCATGATCACATAAATCAGTTGTTTAATACTTTCACAGGCCAGCCCTGAAGGATCGTCTATTTATATCTAAATACAAATAATGTAAATAAATTGTGAACGGGGGTTAGAGGTGACGAAAATAATGATTGCTTCTGTTGCTTTATCAGCACTTATCAAAACTGTCAGGGCCATAACAAGGCTTTGTACACTAATCTTGTTTTTGGAGAACAAAGAGTTTGAACTCAAAATACACTAGGCAATACATTATATTCTAGGCACATTTCCTCATTTTAAAAAATTCCTTTTTGATGTGTCGCTCTGGAGTCTGTTATCCATCCCAATCTATGGGGGTTATCCATGGGCCAGACCCAGTGATTCAGATTCATATAAACCCTTCACCAGAAATGGTATTCTTCCGGTCACTATAAGCAGCAGAAGTAGGCGCAGGATGTATAAAGGAATGTGAAAAGGAAACAAGTAGTATGGACCCTATGTGGTGAATTTAACTTTTTTGCTTCTAGATACAGAAAGAAATGGACCTGACACAAACCATCAGGTGAGAACATTTGGGCATCAGGAGCAGTGGGAGGAAGGAAATAGTTATATCTTGAGGTGGGTCACAGTCTTAAGATTGTCAGCGCTGAAATGGCTTCATGTTCTCCTTTCTAGACTCAGCAGAGCAAACCTTCCCCGTTCTCCCCATCCCCAACCATCACGGGCACCAAGGTAAGCCCCACCTTTTCTCTGCCTACCTACAGATCCACAAGGTGATGTCATTTCTTCTCAGAATTCCCCAATGTTTCTCAACCTTCGACTGCTTTCAAATAGGTGGACTCCAACTCCCAGAATTCCTCACCAGCATTTCTGGCTGGGGAATTCTGGGGGTTGAAGTCCACATCGCTTAAAGATGCCAAGGTTGAGAGACATTGCTCTAAAAAAAGACACCTGGCATTCAGATTGGCTTGGATTGACTTGGGTTCAGAAGCTGTGTTGAGGTGAGCTTTAACTTCAGTCCAAGACAGAGGAAAATGGTAGGTTCGTGGGGATGAGATAATAAGAGTGTTCTGGGGAACTCTGGGAGTTGAAATCCACCCATCTTCAAATTGCCACGGTTGGGAAACACAGGTCTAGGCTGGTACTTTAAAACTGTAACTGTGTACTAAGTCTTCATGACCGGCTCGACAAACACCTTATTTGTCAATGATTATAGACATCATCTTTTTAAGTCTTGAAGAAGGGGAGTCATAGATCATAATTCAGCACCCCAGTTTTTAAATGGCTTCTCTATCCGTGTCTGTCTAGGGTCTGTTAAGCTTTGAAACGAGACCAAAACCTTTGACTCTGGCTTGAATGACACCATGACAAAACTGTAAACTCTCTCTGTGCATGTCTGTTTAGCTGGATTAATCACTTGCATTTTGATTAACTGATTGCACAGAAAAAAATTTGCATATTGCCCAAACCACAATTTGTTCCCTTTTTTTCCCTCTCTCTTTCTCTTTTTTTGAGACATAAAATTAGATAACTTCAACAGCTCAGCTCTTCACATAATTTTAAATGTTGTGCTTTCTGCAACATTGCAAATGATTCTGGGTGGCCCTTCAGGCTGCCCCCACCCCCTGGAAATCCTGAAACTGCCCCTCCCAACAAAGGCCATTGCAGGTCAAAATCACACTTACAAAGAAAGACCCCCCAATGGAAAGGGCCCTGCACTTTTGTTATCAACCTGATAGGAACTTGTGAATCAAGGTTGGTTTAAGGGGGGGAATTCCCTGCACCCCAACCCCGCCAGCAAAACAGGAAGCCAAGTAACGATAAAGCATCTTGCACTGGTCAGTGGGCGGGATGTGAATGTATTGTACTGCATTGTTTCTCATCTCTGCACAGAACGCCCTACTAAATATCAGCCGTGTAGCAGAGATTTAAGTTTGCAGGATTTGGGTCCCCTCGCTTGGAATCCCTGAAGTCGAAGTGCACAGGATCTTGGCTGCAGTTGAAGATCTCCACTGAATCGCCCTCTTCCCCCCTGCCCTTTGCTGGGACATAGGGCTCAATCTCTCCAGTATAGGATCCTTCCGACAGCTACCCCCATTTCCTTTCTTGACGCTTGGTTTTAGTGTGAGACAGAACTGTTCGCTTCAGACAAGGGAGCTTTGGTTTTTTAAAAAAATACAAGAAAGGAACCATCTGCCTTTGTTCTAATGGAGTTTGGACACAGGAAGAAAACAGTAGGGTCAGAAAGATGTTTGCTATGTGGAGATGGAAAGCAAATGGCTTTTATAGGTAGTCCTTGACTTACAATATCACTTCGTACTTATATACCACTTTACAATGCTTTACAGCTCTCTCTAAGTGGTTTATAGAGTCAGCCTATTGCCCCCAACAATCTGGGTCCTCACTTTACCCACCTCGGAAGGACGGAAGGCTGAGTCAACCTTGAGCCTGGTGATATTCGAACTGCCAAATTGCAGGCAGCCGGCAGTCAGCAGAAGTAGCCTGCAGTACTGCACTCTAACCACTGCACCACTGTGGCTCAGTAACATAGTTGTTCACTGAATTCCCCATTGACTTTGCTGATCACAAGGTCTCAAAAGGTGTTTGACCTGACCCTGGGACACTGCAAAATCATCATAAATAGGAGTCAGTTGCCAAGCATATCAATTTTGATCACATGACCATGGAGCTGCTGAAAATGGTACTAAGTCACTGTTTTCAATGCTGTTGTAACTTTGAACGGTCACTAAACTGACTGTTGTAAATTGAGGACCACCTATATTATGGTTGGTCACACACTCAGCCTGAAGTTCAGACTGGATTTGACACTTATTATCTGCCTATCGGGTCCTTCCCAAGCATCTGGAATAGGTAGATGTGGATGTTTGATGGTGCTGGAAGTATCGTCACAGGATGTAAGCTGTTCTGAGTGAAGCTGCCTTTTGCAATTGACTGAGGGTGATTTTGTCAGCGTAGATGATGTTTAAGTGGTGTTCCAGATGTTTTACAAAGGCACGCAAGGTACCTATTACTATCACTCTATATCGGTGATCTACAGTTAAGATTCACAGTCTAAGACTAGCAGAAACTCAACAATTCAATAAATAGTAATTAACGATTAATCGATAATTCAGCTCAAGATTATTATTATTCCCTTCTAGATCAAAGCTGAAGACTCTACAGAAATGCCTCCAGCTCCAGCCCCAGCCCCAGCTCCAGCCCCTCAAGCTCAGCAGCCACACCTACCCCAGGCTCAGCTCATGTTAGCGGGCAGCCAGCTTGCTGGGGTAAGTGCAACAGGCAGTTTCTGCAATTCACCTTTGGATGAAGCGAGGTGAGGTGGCACAGAATGGGATTGAAACCTCTTGAATTATTTCTAGGCGGAATATTGCCATCAAAGGTTGAGGAAAGTGGAGGAGGGAGGTTGCAATCCCTGCTGGCAAAATTTAAACATTCACCATAGGATTTGCAATAGCACTTAGACTTATATGCCGCTTTACAGTGCTTTACAGCCCGCTCTAAGCGGTTTACAGAGTCAGCCTATTGCCCCCCCGCAATCTGGGTCCTCATTTGACCAACCTCGGAAGGATGGAAGGCTGAGTCAACCTAGAGCCTGGTGGGATTTGAACTGCCAAATTGCAGGCGGCCGGCAGTCAGCAGAAGTAGCCTGCAATACCACATCCTAACCACTGTGCCACCATGGATCATACAATATGTGCATCGGGGCCTTTCTCCTAAAAGGAGAATCTCTGTGCCAAGTATACTTACATAGTTCATTATTATTATTATCTAGATGTTATTTACATAGACGTTCATATAAGTACAGGCCGTCCTTGACTTACGGCCACAATTGAGCCGCCAATTTCTGTCGTTAAGCGAGACATTTGGTAACTGAATGTTGCCCCATTTTACGACTTTTCTTGCCACAGTTGTTAAGTGAATCGCTGCAGTTGGTACGTTAGTCCCACGGTTGTTAAGCAAACGTGGCTTCACCACTGACTTTGCTTGTCCGAAGGTCGCCAAAAGAGGATCATATGATCCTGGGATAAGGCAGCCGTCATAAATACTGTGTGAGCCAGTGGCCAAGGGTCCAGATTTGGACCCTGAGACCGTGGGGATGCTTGCAACGGTTGTTAAGTGTGAAAAACGGTCCTCAAAGTCCCTTTTTTCAGTGCTGTTAAACAAACAGTCGTTAGTCGAGGACCCCTTGTGATCCTCAAAACAACTGGTCTATATCACACTGGGAGAGTGTGATATACCCACCCAAGGAAGGGAAGGAAATGGGTAGTTTTGGAGCCCCACATTCTCTTTGGTTGTGCTATCACTGCTCTCCTGGGATGGATGGAGGCTGGGGAAGCAGATGGAGAGATCTCAGCCTCTGCCCCAAAGGTTGCTGGAGAAGGAGATGTAATTCCACCCCGAATAGTAAAACACGACTGATGGTTCCCTCTCATCAGCAACCCTCCCTTATCCCTCCTGGTGCCTTTTCCAGGGGACAAGAAGGACTCCAACAGGTACACCTTTCCCTGAACCTCCACACATGACAATGAGCAACACACCCACTTCTTTCCCACCTGGCCAAGTTCTCCGCGGTCTGTGCGAGTCCAGTCTCCAGCAAAAGAAGAACTGCATGGCCTGTCTATCTGAGAAAGTTCCTGGCTCTTTGCTGGGGGCAGGGAATGAGGTTGACTAACTTGCTTCTTCCTTCTCTCTGATCTTCCTTCCTTCCTTCCTTCCTTCCTTCCTTCCTTCCTTCCTTCCTTCCTCCCTCCCTCCCTCCCTCCCTCCCTCCCTCCCTCCCTCCCTTCTTGTCCCTTGGCCTCCTGCTTGCTGCCCGCCCTGCTGCCTCCTCTCTCATACAGCTCACTGCCCTGATGCCTGCCCAACAGCAGCTGCTCCTGCAGCAGGCGCAAGCACAGCTTTTGGCGGCTGCCGTGCAGCAGTCTAACGCTGCCGCCGCCGCCGCCGCCTCCTCTCAGCAAACTGGGGCTGAACTGCCAGCAGCACAGAGCCAGCCCCAGGCGCCCCAGCTGGCCTTGTCCCAACCAATCCAGCTCACGGCACAGGTAAGGGCTTGTGCATTGAAGCTTTGCAGGGCCGGCCACAAGAGGTTCTCTCATTGCCAGGCCACTTGACCTTGGAAGGGAAGGCGGTCAACTCCTGGAGGGACGTTTGAAAGGGGAAAAAAATGGCCTGAGACATTGCCTGCCGTTGAAATTTGGCCCTTAGCCCAGGGGTCTCCAACCTTGGCCACTTTAAGCCTGGAGGACTTCAACTCCCAGAATTCCCCAGCCAGC